CAATCCTGTGTTACATTTTTGTATGGCACTATTTGTGTAGTTGGCAGTTTACTGTTCTGCCCAGAGTGAGACCTTACTGGGTGCTATACAAGATCTAGAAGAGGCAGATGATGAAAAGCAGAAAGTAAGTGTAGGCTCTTGAATAAAGCAGTAACTGTTAGGGAAGATGGTTGTTGCTTTGGCAAGATTCTGAGCTCAGCTAAATAGCAGAGTAGGGCTCCTGATTGCCCAAGCGTCATCTCTTAACTGAGAACTAGCCTTGTCATGGAACCCTCCATCCTGATGTGGCTTCTGCATTTTCGTGGAAAGCTTGCAAGGGAGTGAAGGGTCTAGGTAGTTGCTGAGTTGATAGAGCTGTGAATCCTGGTTCTTGCCTGAGATTGGACCAGTATTCATATTTTCTATCAGTTTTTTTAATGTTATGATAGGTAACAGAATAGGCAGATTCCCAGTCCCAGACTGGTTCAACTACAAATTTGCTGCACCAAATGAAAAAACAGCAACATTTGACAGGCAGACATGTCTTTTAAATAAGAACAAAGTGGAATTAAAAACATGTGAAGAGTGACTCTCATAGTTCCATGGTAAAGCTGTATGATCTCAAGCTCCATCTCTGGCATCTCCAGTAGAAAGACTGGGAAATACCTCTGCCTGGCGCTATGGGGTATTGTTGTCAATCACACTAGATAATACAGGACTAGATGGATCAATAGTTTTCTGACTATGTATAAAACATATGTTCAATCCCTTTTTGTGATGTTTTAGTTATGGGACTTTTTCTCTTAGTTACAGTATGTGATAGAGTTGCACCATTTCTTGTTGTATACCTTTCCATGTTCTCCCAGCCTCATGGCATTTGTGATGCAGCTGGACAGCCATCTGTAAGGGATGCTTTAATTTGGAGCCGTGCACTGAACAGGGGCTCAACTCTTTCTTTTTAATTGTCAGGCTATTACAAATAACACCATCAGTATGCATGGCACCTTGCAGAGTACAAGAGAAGACCCTGTTCCAAGGAGCCTGTAATTTAAAATCCAGGGAGATAAGAAAGGAGGCAGGAAGTGGAAGCAGGGATAAGCAAGGGGGAGAACTATGCATTAATTTCAATTATGCCTGCTTAGACTTGAGAGAAGGGGGAAAAGTGAGTAAGTTGAAGATAGTAGCTATAGAGTATACAGCAGGTGTCAATAGAAGAGAAAACACTTTGGAAAAATCCATGGAATAAGTTGACAGAAAGATACAGAAGAAGCAAGAGGCAGAATGCAGGGAAGGAAAACTTTGCACATTGTTCAAGGATATGTGATGATTATCAAGCAGAGACTTCAGTGGCAGACCAGTTAGTTCAAGACAATGTCCGTACAAGAGTCCATCTAAAATCAGAGATCAAAGGAACAGGTTAGGTAGGGGAACAGTTCAGACTTGTTAGATCAGCAGGGTTATTAACATGAGTGGTAAAATCAAGGAGCAGAGTAGGAGTTATGTCAGAGAACAGGAAGATAAGGCAGGTATTAAGGTCTGGGTTAAATATTAAGATGAAGGCAGAGAGTGGTATAAAACAGCAATATGGAGATACAAAGCGAAATAGGAACTCACAGACTGGATCTGCAGGTGTAGAAAAGTGGTAAGCAGGTTTGCAGGTGCTGGAGCAGACAGAATTTGGAAATGAAGCAGCCAGCACCACTTTTGAAGCAATTAAGATTAAATGAAGCAATTAAGTTGAGATATGAGGGTGAAGAGGCCCTCATAGGAGAAGGCAGAGACAATATGTGCAACTTCAAGGTTGCTAGGTTAAAGTGAGGGCAAGAAACTAGAGAGATTGAAGAAGAAAAAGGTGAGGAGAATGGCTGCTTTTGGGCAGAAGGGAAGCAGGGAGGGTTGGAAGGCAATGATTGTGCATAACAGAGAAGGTGAATGAGTGTCATAACACTTTAAATAATTGAGAATAAAAAGGATCCCCCCCCCCATTTTTCTTAACAATATCCTTGGGCAGGAGGTATAGAGAAAATTCAGCAAGAGTTTTGTTCTTTAACAGTGAAAATCTGCTTGGCACACTGAACACTGTGCTTTCATAAGTGATTCTCTTGTCTTGAGCACAAGGTCAAAAGAGAATTTCATTGTTAACCATCCTTAGAAGCTCACCCACTTGCCAACTCTTCATATGTTCTACCATAATTTGTACACTTCTTTCCTGCAGACTCCTGGATTTTAGGAGTTTTGCTTTCCCCTCATGTCTAGGTAGTGCCATCATACTGCCAGAGATTTTGGTCTTTCGAACTATTGCAACTGTTTATATGTTGTGTTTAAATCTATCTTTTCCCTGCATATCTATATGATAGGTAAATCCCACTTGTACATCTTGAACTTGCTGCATTCATGCATTTATGCTAATGCAATTATCAATGTGGAATGCAGTTTACCTTGAAAATGAGTTTTTTGAAATCTGGAGGATCCATCAAGATTGGAGTTTGAGTTATTTGAAGGAAAAGCAGAAGTTATCATGTGTGCCCATTAGGAATCTGCCTGAAGCACTAGTACAGAAAGATATTTACAGAATAATGCTACTGTTCGGTGAATGAAGTTATGGCATTTTAACAGTTGGGATGAGAAATGTGAGGGGAAAGGAGAGCACAGAATGAATTATATAGTATTAACAAATTTATATATCA